TCCTCACCGCGGCAGTTCCTCGATATTAGCAACCCAGAAAAATCATTTATGCAAATGGCGGACGTTACACTGATATTGATAAAGCACATCGGTTTTTTGTTAGCCACTAGTTTATTTTCTTGCTGAAATTGGTATGACGAGAGCCATTAAAGATAGGTCGGAATAGGTTCATGATAATGGCATCGAATATTGTGTTTCGCTGGAGGATGATTACCACTGGTGTGGAACTGATTTCCTTGTAACTGGCACAAGCGTTTTTTTTTCTTTCGAGCCACTTTACACGACACCGAACGTTTATTTACAGGCCGGTGTTTAGAGGGTATTGATATTAACATGGTACACTGTTATTTTGTGCATTTTATAATAGTGGGTTTAAGGTAAAACGCAGTTATGTCGGGTAGATTACTGATGTTGTAAGGAGTTTGTTCTAAACATGGCTATTATTAATTTAAGTTTTACCTTGACGTAAGTCGGGAGGAAAATATGATAAAGTTCCATTTCTTTTGTATGCTCATTATTTAAATTGTACTGCAATTTTTAGGATTATATATTCATGTACATACATAGGTATTGTGTATTATATACTGGACTTGAGTCACGTAAGGTTGTTTTGCTTATTGCATTTAATATTAGGTTTCTGCGATACTAAGTAACTTTTCTTGTATAATTTACTATTGCGACTAATTTGACAAAATATACGCACATACTTCAAATAAATTATTCTTCAGTGTGGTTTCAAAACTTTCTATTTAAATATATTATATAATACAAAGTAATATAAAATATTATAATTTATATAATGTATATTAAAAATACTTTTTCGTATTATAATTATAACATTTAATTCAGTACGGTTAAAGTTACATGTTATATAATTTGGAAGAACCTATATCCCAGACCTACCTTCATGGAAAAGTTTCGAACTTTATAACCCATTTTCCCTCAAACCACTGAGGTAATTTCAAAATTTGATTGAATATTCTATTCATTGTGCTACATTAATTGAATGAACATTTTTTACGACGTTTTTTCCAAGAAAAGTTCGACGACAGGTGAAAAATTGTTCATAAAATTAATGAATGTGAAGGTTTTATCTCCACGCATTATTGTTCAGATTTTTCTATTTAGTGTGTCAGCAACTTGTTAGGAACCTTCATATAAAATGTGACTGAACCTAATTGCTTCCTTCAGTGCTATCATTCGATTTTCAATATAACAATTTATAGTCAAAAGATTTATACCAAATTATTTTAAAATATTATTTTTAGTTCTTTCATGAAGAAGTAAAAAAATGGTTTTTCAAGTTCTTTTCAATTGTACTAACGTTAAGGATATGAATTAAGTTAAATAGTAGAACATGCATAAATAACTGGAAGATGTAAATGGTTGGATCTGTACAGTAAAGATCGCAATACAACAACAGAGTGCTCTTTTGCTTCTATTTTATTGCTCCAAGTATTCTAAGAGCTGTGCCACCATTGCTCGCTTTAATTAGCATTCATACTTTCGTCTTTATTCCCCAGTGACTTATTAAATGCAGCACCCTTCAAAAAATATATTTAATCCCAGTTCGTGTATCCTCCATAAATATTAATACATGTATACATAAAATATAGGTCAATTGATTCATCGTTTGAGGCATGCCTTATTCAGAATCACCGAGGAACAATTTTTTTCCATTCTGTTGCTTCGATTATTCTAAAATAAAACGGTCTTACGAGTATTGGATGTTAACAATAGGTCTCGAAAAGTTTGCAATAAATATGTACAAGCAACAATATTACTCATTTTTATTATTCTACAATTTGTTACATTTATTATTCTACATCAGTTTAAAAACTGAATAGATTTTAATTCTGAACAATACGGAATGAAAAATAGAATTTTAGAATTTTTATAAATAAAGCAAAGTATGGTTAATTTAAAATTTTGTAGCTTTGTTTCTTTCCACTTTTTTTCCTGATAATATTATACTGTAATAACACATATTACAAAAAATTGGTAATAATATTAAATATTTACAATAATGGTAAAGTATGCCATGCAAATCACTAATTGTCTTGTATAATTTGACTCCTTCATAACTAAATCTACCATTTTATTTCCAAAGTCGTATCCTTTTTTAATTTTTAATCGAATATTGATAGAAGGTTTTAAGTTGTAAAAAAGCATTGTGCCGCATTCATTAAATTATTTCACAGCTGAACGTGTATTTCATCTGTAAGACAGCCAATACATTAGTCTCGATGGTCTATAAAAGTCAGTCGGTGCTTTCTGTAACAGGCCCAGAGTAATGAAAAATGATAGGCCCTTATTTCTAGTGCAAATGTTTCCCAGCCGACATTATGCATTTCGCATCGATCTTTCACGAGGTGTCGCGTTAAATTCTACATTACAGTTACCGTAACATTTTCGTGACAACGAAGTCGGCTTAACATATCGTGTTCCACACGCAATCGATACTTGCGAGATAGTCGTTACCCCTGTCCCTTAATGCTAGAAAAAATGCTATTGCAAACGTTTTATTGCGTTCGTTTCCGTTTATATAAAATATTACTTTTTTTATGGCACGAATTTACTGATACCCCGTAAGACCGTTTATTTGCGACTAATAAATTCTTAGTGACTTTACTATAAATTCCAAAAGGTTTCGAATGCACCTAGTGATATGATAAGCCAGACTAGTGATAAACATGCCATCATAAAAATTACGAATATACTGCGTATTTTATGTATTCGTAATATTCGCAAGAGTATAAAATACAATAAAATAAACAATTTTATTGAAATTCTAAATAGCTTTTATATTATTGTCATGATAAAGAACTTCATAATAAAAGAATTAGTTTTCTATTTAATTCCAGTATTTATAACCAATATTTACAATTTATAATAATGTAACTATATAACAATATAATTTTTATAATTTGTGAGATTTCATATTTACGTAAAAATGTGCAGTTCAATTATGCGAAATTATTCAGGGTGGAAGAAAATTTATGATGTAATTCTAAACGATAAGAGAAGATAACAATTAAGGTAAAGGAATTGCTTTTGAGCATCCATTTCTTCGTTATAAATATTTAAAAATGGGCTCACAACTCCCTGAAAGGAGGCAATCCGTCTATCACCGTCACCAGTAGAGTAACTGAAGAGAGGAGCGCACATCAATGACATAAGACTTCGCTTTATCAATAAAATTACTATCTTCTCAATTAAGCGTTCAGTTTTTACCTTATTCTCTTCTTCAGTTAATCGCTTAATAATCTCTGAGCCATTTCATCTTACATTTATCATAGTGTTGATCCAGAATAATGCATCATGTTATGTTACATCGTCATTATCAATGAATGGATAAAAAATGTCCTGCTTTTTTGTAGGTCAGTATTATACAAAAGACTTTCTCAATTGATGAAGGCTAATAGGATTTTAGTATTAATGTAGTAATGATGCCCATAACAAAAGAAATTAATTTCGATTTAACTTCTTTGTTCCAAAATTATTTTATAGAGATTTTTATTTGCACAAAAATTATTTGTTCAGTTATGATGACAAAATAGAATAAAAGTCTAGAGCAACAACATAACTATGTTTCATGATGGATTTTATCTTCCTTTCCTATCGCACAAATAATTTCCATCTCTGTATCAACAATTTCCATCCTCCAATTATCTTTTTAATAAATTAGAAAATATTTTATTTCAGCATAATTCGAAAGTGTTATCCACAAAAATTACAACCCGCTATACAGTCTACAAGAAGATGTCTAAGAGTTTCTCGAGCTGGCGGCATGACTGCGTGCACTGGAAATCTGAGAAATTGCGCATCAAACAATGGCGGATACGTTTCACGGTTGGAACAATATCCTCGGCTGTCGGTTGCATTTAACTTGCTTAAGTAGCAGAAGTAGGTCGAAAATAAATGTACAGCCTAGCTTGAGAGAGAAGAAGAGAGAGAATGAGAGATAGTGGTCAATGAACTAGCCGGCATGACGCTGTTACGAGCGTTAATGGGATCCAGCGTCGCAGTTGGCCTCCATGCCGGCCTGAATTCTCTCGCAACCGTCTCAGCGGCCGTTCGCCAAATTGAATGAAATTGCAATTTGGAAATTAATCGCCGGCTGTCCGGCATTTCAATCTTACATTCCCGTGGGATTGGAAATTTGCATGCCGGCGTTTCTTCGCTGCGAACCGGCGCGGTCAGTCGCGAAACCGGCGCCATTTGCATTCTGAAACCCGCGAAATTTGAATACACAAGTTCCGAATTCTTGAAATTTCTAGACTTTGTACCTTGTTTCTAGATTTTTCTATATCTAATTCCTACATTTTGTAAGTTCTTCGCTTTCGCGTTACTATCTTTATATCTTTTTAGTGTTTTAATCTCTTTAATAATTAATAATGTTCAAAGATTTTCAATTTTTACTTTTTAAAATAATTATTAGGTGCGATAATTTTAATGCGTCATTATGGAAGTCCTTCTATTTAATTCTACGGCATTTCAATTTTTCAGTGACTCTTCCAGAATTTTTATAAATATCGCTGCAACAAATTTAAACTTCACGGTTGGAATCTTTTTAATTTGAATATCCGAGGTTAAAATGTTCTTCACCTACAGCGTTAAGTTTTGAAACTTTGTCGTTTGAATTCCGAAACTCTTCCCTTAGATTTGAAATGCTAATGATAGGAACTCGAAGCTCTGCAACTTGTATTTTTGTGCGTTGAATGCATTAAGTTGAATTGAAAATTTGAATAGCTGTGAATTAAATATTCAATCTTGTTTTATCTTTCGCTAATTAGTGCCCACGACGTCGTGGATAATGCCATTTCAAATAAGACTTTAATGTCCTTTTAGTAGGGCGGTCTTTGATCTATAGATGTGTTTTCCTTTTAAGCCAGAACGCAAACGTTTGTACTTTCGAGCGTTTGAGGTGTGTACGTGTACTACTTGTATTCTGAACGTTGGCACTGTAGACTTACGGTAAATTCATTGGTAGCACTCACCCGTGTCCTGACAGCCTCTCAGCTCGATTCGAAGGCAAACGGTGCGTCTGTGCTCGGAGTGCGGCAAAACACGGATCTGGCTGGCGAATATCGGTGGGATTAATCGATGCGACACTATGGTGGATGTGTCGCTGTTTCCGGCTAGGACCTGAAAAATACAAGAATATCCGAATGAAATACAGTACTCTTTCTTTGCGCAATGTCATTTCATTTTTCGCATTTTTTTCGATATCAGATGTTATTCTGACTAAAGGTTATTCTAGGGGACTATCATTAGCTTTAGCTATGGATTACTCTAAATGAGCAAAAAGGTAAAAAGTGAACTATGAAATTTATTTCTTAGAGGTCCCATTTTTTAAAAAATTGAGCTTAAATATATTCTGCTGACGGTTGCGAAATGATGGTATGCTCGATAAATTTTCAAATGAAATTCTTTGTAGCATGAGATTCCAACGAAAAATTTTTGTTCTCCATTCTCTACTTGTTTTTTCACATAGAATATCTTTCTGCCGATTATTCCTCGCGTATGCAACTGAATCAGTCAAATGTATGGAGTACTCCATTTTCAATTTCCGTTTCGTATAGAAGAGCATCGCAGATGAAAAAATTTTATTTTGGATTTTCCATTTATGTTTTCATGTAGAGCCATTTCTTTTACGATTATGACGTGAGTTCGTGATATAGTTAGTAAGAAAGTAATAAAGTTTAATTTCAGTAATCTAGATGTACACAGTAGTCATAATAAAATAATATGTTATTATAGTGATTCCGATTATGAAGTCAATGATCGTATGATTTTGATTCTAACATTTATTTAAATTATAATTCGAAACTTTTTATCTGGTATCTTAAATTTCAAATAACTTTTATTAACACTTTGACTGATTTTAACCAAGTCAACTAAATTCGGGTGACACCATTGGTGACGTATCGAACGAACCGAATTTTGTTTGATGTAAATACATCAGGCAAAGATGTATCATGTAAGAAATATAGTAGAGTAATCGGTTTAAAGAATTATGACGTTTTAGTGTTTGCTTTATTAAGTGCACTGTTTCGACTAGATTCAAATTTCGATGAGTGTTTACTTCTCAGTCAATGTGTTTAATAGATTTTACTTTCTATTTAACAATCTCTAACTAAATTTCATTATGTGAAATTCACGTTAAAGCTAGATTAGAATCCTATTTTCCTATTGCCCGAATCAATGCTATTTTTTTATGTTTACCTGTTAGCGCATTACTAGGTTTATTAGCTTCATAAAATGGCGCATATCAAGCGAAACTCACATGGCAGTATGTAATGAGAGAACATTAAACCAGAAACGCACGATTTTTGACCAATGACCGGATTCAACTATCGTTTAACCAGCATTTAACCTGATAATTAATTAACAACCGCACCGAGGCACCGGTTAAATTAAAACGATCTATTAATGGGGAACGACTTCCGTCGGTGAAATTACTGGCGCCCGAGATTCTTCCGTGAAAGTGTATTTAATTATTGAATCGTAAACAAATTTCCGCCGGAAACATGTTTCCGCGGTATATATTACCGTCACCATATAATTATCGGGTTAATTGCGATAATTTAACTGATTTAATTACAGTGGTTGATTAATACGTCTGTGTCGCCGCGAATCGTGTTAACAGTCTTCCGTGATGCTCACCAGAATTATTTTAGCTGTGGCCCGCGTACCAGATGCAATTTTGTATATCTGATAATAACGATGCGGCGTTGATCGGCTGCCACGGGATTCGTAAACGTACAAACGGCGGGACGTGATGCACGACCAGTCTGCCGTCACATCGACGTCGATATTAATCAACTTACTCCGAAATCTCAGCGCACCCGCACGCTGTTTAGACATAGATCATGATTGCATCGGTAGAAGGTAATGCCACGGTTAATGCACCGTCTAGTCCTGATTGCGTAAATTATCAGTCGAATAAACTAGGATGTCACAGCGCCGTGAGCGAATCTCAAATTATCGGTTTGATCCGTGTAACCAAATATTACTGACATATTGAGTTGTGACATAAATAAGCATATTCAATATTTCTTTTTTATTATTATATAGTTTCACCAAACGGCAAAGCATACTTTAAAGTGTTTGTAGTAGGTATACGTAGCTTCTTGTTAACTCCTTGTCCTACAACAAGTGAGACTCGTGGTGAAGATTTTCAAAATGATTCAACAAATATAATACAGGGTGTCTCGCGACTCATGGGCAATCAATTAGGAGGTCATTCTACATGTAAAAATGAGTCGAAAAAATAGAACAAAATTTTTTCCTGGGAGTCTTCGTTTTCGAGAAAATCGAGGTTGAAAATTTATTCGGTACGTGTACACTCGGTACATGTCGACTTTGTGCATCTTACTATACACTCTTGTTTTGATTCTTATTTGTATTTAAAGAATAGTGAGTATACGGATATGATTCTCGCACTTGGAGTGTGCGAGGGTAATTTGAGTGTCGCTTCGCGATTGTATCAAGAGCGGTATCCGCACTTTGTCATTACTATGTCTTTAAATACAAATAAGAAACAAAACAAGAGTGTATAGTGAGATGCACAAAGTCGACATGTACCGAGTGTATACGTACCGAGTAAATTTTCGACTTCGATTTTCTCGAAAACGAAGACTCGCAGGAAAAAATTTTATTCTATTTTTTCGACTCATTTTTACATGTAGAATGACCTAATCGGTTGACATTGAGTCGCGGGGCAGCCCGTATATTACTCAGTTCATTCAAATTCAAAGTAAATGTTATTCCTCTGTAATCAACTATTATATTTAAAAGGAAATATAGGCATAACATATGCTTAGAATTTTTCTCTTTTTCCAATAAATTATTAATGACGAAGTAGCCGTATCAATCACAGTTGAAAAAGAATCATAGGCCATGGGGTTAATCGCAGTTATGCACATTTGCAATGGTTTTGAACTAAATCCTTGGACCTAAAATACGTGTATCTTGCAATTGAATTTATTTATGTTATAGCACAGCACTAATTTTTGCGATAATTTCTATCAGTTTTCTTGGTTTTTGTCTAGATGATTTTGAATTATTTTTACTTATATACATACAGAATGAGAGACATGATTAGGGAGGAAGTTGTATTCTGTGCAGAGCACTATTATAGGATTTCTTTTTCTTTAAATTCGATATTGCATAAAATAATGCAGGTACATCATTTTATTAATGAATATGGTGTATAAACATATTCGATTAAGATGTTTAAAAAATGAATACGTCGTGGGATGTCTCAAAATTTGAAATGCGTTATTGAAGTTAAGAACTTAATATTTTCGTAAGTAAAGCATTGGAAAGAATTAATTTACATCAAAATAGGCAATTTTATTACAAAAATATTTGCAAATTTGTTGCGCATCGTTGCATTTAAAAATATACAGCTAATAGAATGTTCAAAGTTTACTGTACGAAATATGTATGGTAAAGTTCGTTTTATATATAAATCAAAATATTCGAATTATTTAATTTAAATGCACTAAGATTTATTTGTTTAATTGGGAACAACTTTTTATATCACTCTGATTGAAACTTTACAATTACTGTTAAATGTATATCATATTATTATCAGAAAAACTAAACCAAAATTAAGAGAACATAATACACGACAAAAAGAATTTTTTACAAAATAGGTCAGCTAATATAGATAAATGCAGGTTTAAGATAAATGAATAGTAGTTATACGTGCTGTTCGATAATATTACCAAAAAATGGCATAAAAATAAGACTTGTATTTAAAATAATTTGACTCATTAATTCTGAAATATCGATATAAATGTAATTTAATTTCGTGCATACCTCGATCTATTACATTCCGCTTCATCGAATTAAAACATTTCCTCGCGTTTTTCTCAATAATTCAATTCAATTAATAATGCGATATTTGAACCATTACGCAGAATTTCAGTTTCTCCAAACAGAAGTCCCTGAAAACGAATCGGGAGTTTCGTGCCGCGCCAGGGTCCCTCATACCACCGGACAATAAACTATTGTTCGCCCCAAACACGTTATAGACTGGCAACTAAAACTACTTGACCAGAACTGTTGTTAATTATTCGACGATCCAATATGGTCGGGGCAGATTGCTCAGAATTTAATCGTTGTCTGTAAAGTCGAACGCGAGTATTGCGTTTCGAATTATACCATTAGGAAATTGATAACGATTCCCGTTCCCGACAATATAGGGTCTCCGCGCGATTCTCGGTGCAGATTATACACGCCGCGCCGGCGATAACGTGGGGGGGTACTCTTGCCGCGTAAACTTTGATTTTATCGTAAATAGACGAGAAAAAGAAGAAGCAGGAGAAGAAGACGAAGAAGAAGAAGAAGGGAAACGAAAGTACTCGACGTTGGAAAAGTTCGCTGCTGGCGCCTCTTAATCTTACATTACGAGGGGCGCGGTACGATTTCCGGCGTGTACGTAGTTATCGATGACCGTATCCTACTTTCCTCTGCTACCGGTTCAATCTCTGTGAACAGTTAAGTGGGCGCGAGCTCGCGTCTCTCGTAACTCGAATCGCGGACACCGGCAGAATCGCAATAAGGTGATCGACAGCGAACGACAATCGACCTTCTTTTTTTCTCGCGAATGCGAAGTTACTCTTTCTTTTGAAACGAGACGAAACTTGCCTTACGATCTGACGTTTAGACACGTTTCGCGGCATCTTGGTTCTTCTTCCTCGTCTAAATTCATTTCAGGATGACGGACGGAAACGTGAGGTGTGATTGAGAAATTAGTTCCTGGGAATGTAATTGTAGTGCTAAAATAATGATTTTGTATGGTATTTGTATTTTTTTTTATAAATATAGGAAATTAATATTTTATCTACTGGAGGTTATTTAATAGTATCTTGAGAATGAACAATTCATAGCTATTTAATTCATTTTTCTTACTGTAATATACTATTATATTTCTTTGTAATTTACTTTCGAAGTGTAGTTTAATAACTTTTTTTATATTATTGTTTAACAGAAAATTATTAGCTTCTTTTTTTATGTACCGTAGTCATTATGAAACCGATTTGTAAAATGTAACATAGGTATCTTATGAAATTGAGTGGATAAAATCAATATATGTATCTGTAAAAATGAAATTACTTTTTCATTAACTCAAGGAAGATAAATGTACAGGACTCATTTTTACTCTCGATTTACTAGTGCATTTAAAGTCAGATTAATCCATGATTCTTCATAAAAAAGAAATACAAATCATTTTTTAACGTATATATTTTTATTTGAAACTAATATTTTAAAACTAATACTAATCGTAGTATTTTCGACAGAGAGTATCTTCATTAAATACATTACCAAGAAAATCATTCAATAACATTTTATGACACCTACTTCTATATTTCTTTAAAATTTTCTATTTTACTCAAAACACGTTTCCAAGCACTTTTAATATTTTGAAATAAATACATAACAAATAATACTATTCACTTTTGTATAGTCACTCAATTCCAGTTTATCAAATCAATCGTATTTAACGTTTTTCTTGTAAATAGTAAATATTAGAAAAAAATGAAAGAGGAAAAAGTAATACTGTTTTTTATACGCAACACAACGGGGTATGTATGAAAAATTCAAAATGTTTCTTCTATTTCTGACATTGCATGACCTTGAAGGTCACTGTGCGGTATACGAACAAATTTGTCTAGACATACGCTTTTATGTGATATAAAAAAAAATATACAGCATTCCATTTAAAAAAATAAAGGTCACTTTCATATCTAACAAAATAATATAAACACAAAAAGACTACATACCCCATTTTGTTGCGTATAAAAAACAGTACCACTTTTTCCTCTTTCATTTTTTTCTAATATTCACTATTTACAAGAAAAACGCTGGCTAGTAATAGCGTGAACACCCTGTATAAACAAACAAATACTAGAAAACTGAATACGACAATTTAACACAAATACTTTGCTAACTTCCGTCGCACGAGTTCAACGCGCTTTGTAGACAAAATTTCTTGTTTATGTACGAAGTTTCATAGAAATCTTTTTAACCTAGTGAATTCCCGCGTCGCGCCTGCATCGTGGATAAACCGTTGGCTAATCCGCGAAAGGAAAATAAAGGGGACGCTTGATTGTGGTCACGTTATTCAGTATCGTCCGACTTGACTCACTTCTTCTCTACTGTCAACAGACGCCGGCACGTACCTCCTTGTTATCCCAGCGCTTATATCGCCGCCACTCGGTGAACCCGGGACGTCGATACTCCAGGGTATACTCTTCGACGTATTCCTGGCCACGGCCGTGATCGTAACGACCCTGACTCTGTACACCAGTGATCACGTGAGGTCCAGGAAGATCCACTTGAAGCCACTCACGGATTCCTCGTTCTATTTGATTCTTCGGGCACCAGGCACCGCCGGCTGTCTCCTTCCGGAGCCTGTTTATATCGCAGAATTTCTTATTGTTAAGGTTTCTGGAGAATCTTAACTGGCGTTAACGCGTTTGCTACCAACGCCACTTACACTGGTCTACAGAAGCATTTAACACTAGGTTTAGGGACACTTATTGTGCAGTTTTTTTTATTGTTTGTAGGAAATTGATCTTGATTGATTTACATCTTGGAGGTTAGAGGTTTAACAGTAAAAGTACCGAGCAGTTACATTGAGTTCTTGAAATTCCGCTATAGGAAATCCAATAGTGCATCTGTTGAGACTTTAATTGATTTATAATAAAGTTTGTATATTGTTAAATGAATTTCTTGAGTAATTTCTCAGAGAAACATCTGTTATGTTTTTAATAGTTACGAAAAGAAGAAATCAGAAATGAGTCATTTTAGCCCGTCTGGTAGTTTTAATGTTAAGAATAGACAATTAAAGACACATATTCATCCAATTGCACCAATCAAATTCTATATAAATATTTTCTAAATAACGTTTATAAAATTCAATATGCGTTAAATTGACGTGTTCCGTAAATCTAATGTTAAAATCGATATATTTATAATGGAAATGTACTCACCGTGTAGGAGATGTTCTAAACTTTCCGTGTGTATAATGCTTGTGATGTATGTGAAAATGATGTCTACAGATTTCATTACAATCGAATAACACACGCCTGAAATGTCCATTTTTATTACAAATATATCGATTTTAAATACTTTTGTGAGCCAGCGTATTTATTATGATTACGTTATATTTTTGTAGTATATTAATTAGTGGGTTTGTTGGATTTAATGGGTTATTGTAACTGTGAAGATTGTTTCCGAAGTACGTAGTGGTAGCGAACATGTTAACCGTCTTAGTACTTTATCATTTTCTGCGTATCATTTAGGAATAGCTTGGGAAATTAGTAATTTTACAATAAAACATTTTCGAATATCAAGACAAGATAATTCATAATAATGAATTTGCAAATAGCAAAACAAGTTAGCATTTTTTGAAAATTAGAAAGTTAAACTATAATAAATAAGCTTTTAGAGAAATATTCAGGTAATTTCATTAACGGTATGTGAGATATTTCAAAATATAGATCATTGTTATCCATTTTGGAAAATTGTTCCAGTTAATGGAAGAATCATGATGGGATAACCATTGATTACTGATTGAAAATATAGATTATTAATAAATCCAATGAAATATGCATGCACACTGCGTCAGTAAATAACATTCGAAAATTAAAATATATTTATGGATTTATAAAATAATCGAAATGTATACAGAATAATATAGTCTAGAGAAAATTTATATAATTCACACAGTGTTTATCTATATGTTAAGATATCGTGGATTCGTTTAATTGATATTAAGAATTAAAATTTCACCGACAATGATACTCTGAAAAGAGGATGCAAAATTAATTTTCATTTCCATTGGAAATGCATGCAGGATGGAGGAAAGACTGAAATTGCACAGTAATAATCATACTGAAAATATAGGGACGTCAAAATTGTACGCGTTCAATTCACGGTTCATTTCACCATATCCACCGTTACAATGACCATCGGTAATTTTTCACTCGAATCGGACAGACATAATTAATTGGTATTATATTTCAGTCGGAATGGATAACGCGGTGCGGTAAATATCAGAGTAAAAAGAGAGAGAGAGAGAGAGAGAGAGAGAGAGAGAGAGAGAGAGAGAGAGGGGGGAGAGAGAGAAATCAAAGTGATGAATTTAAGTCGCTAAAATTATATTGATTTATAGAATGGAATAATTAGTTACGTTATAATCTTGTTATAACTAAATTAGTAAACTTGTTAATTCTGGCAATATTGAATTTTATTTTCTGAGGAATTGAAATTCGATATCAAAAGTTAAATATCTTGAGGATATTTCTCGCAAGGTTCACCAATGAAATCAATGCATCAAGAACTTTTGAAGATTACATAAGAATACTTAAAATGTTGTTTAATGATCATTTATATAATCTTTTAAGCTAATGGGTTTTAAGGTTTTATGCGTAATTGAGGTCACACTTAACAGATAAGTCGTAAATAGATAAAAGAAATAGATGCAACTATAGTTAGGGTATAACAGTGAAAACTAATTAAAATAAATTAAAGGTACTATTAATTTATTTTAACGAAATAAAAATAAAAATAAAAATAAATAAAACTTTTCAACGAAAAGTATACTCAAGTTTTATATTTGCGATTCACTTTTTCGGACAAACATTTATGTTTTGTTGGATTTTTGCACAATATCAATTACGATGCTATTGTTAACGGTCGCTTAATATACATTTTTGGTATATACCAGAGAACACCATGACCTAGGAATCCTCACTACCCTTGGCTGCCAGAGCTCTTAGGCTCAAGAGACATTCTAGGGTTTACATCAGTTTGATACTGCCAATATTCTACTTGTTTCATTGGCTAGCGTACTGCAAGCTTTGTTCTGATGAAACCCTGACCCCAGAATCCCATCAGTGCTAAGCTTCCAAGTCCCTGAGGTCTTGGTTGCCCTCCAGGCTGAACGATTCTTAGTTCTCTGTACAGAACACCTGGTCCCCAGTATAGGCCAGCCCTATACAATGCTTCTCTCTTTTCATTGAGGTTGACAGGTGATTTTGTTTGAATCGTGAATCATTTGATACGTAAAACCCGAGTACTGAAGAGGTAGGCCCCGAACTAATTAATAACTAAATTACTTTTCTGTTAATATGAGTAACTATTCAGTTTATAATAGTTGTTATTATATATAATATATAAATTGTTTATATTATTTCATTTTTCCATGTATATGAACTGTGTAAGTAAAATTTTGTCCACTAATTGAATAAATAATTAATCCTTTACTTTCTTAGTATTCAAGAAGACGTAGGTTTTATTCTGAAACAAATTTTTTCCTGTAAGATATCGTACTAAATGTAGTAATTAATTCGATGTCATCTTATTTAATCAACTATAAATAGCTTTATAGATTCGGTTGAAAAGAATATTGAATTCGTTTCTACGCTTCATAAATGCCACATGCCCTTCTATGTAGTATTTTTGTGTTAATTGAGTAATGGTTTTTTTTAAATGTCAGTTGTAAATATGGTTCAATGCATTTTTTTGTGATAAACAGTTTTTAGTATTAGTAGATTCTATTAAATACGAGGACGGATTATTTCTTCGATGTGCCATTGTGAAGTATGTGACGATCTCTTGACGTATCAGTAGTACGCTTGAACGGTCCGAATTTCCGAGATATCCATGACGTCTGGCTATGGCTAATCTATTACTACTGAATATAGCTAGAAACAGCATTTAGCTCTTTTACAGACAATTAAAATAAAAAAAGCAGCCCAGTAGTTGTTGCTGTATTTATTAACTTCAAATATTTTTCATTTGTATCAAAAGTTTAAAAATTATATACTGTTCCCTATATTTTTTTCTAATTTAAAATAAATTCAGAATTATCTTCTGATCTTTCATTAGACTTGATGTTGGGCAGAATTAAAAATATGACAATAACATAGGGTATAATACATTTTAGTATGTTGCATATTCATCTATTAAGTACTGTTTCGGGTGTGATGTGACTGTCAATCTTGAGAAACTAATAGTTGTTACGGACTAAACTACGGAGTAGATACAGAATAAATAGTGTCATTATGATCTTGATAATTACATGAATCTTTTTAATCTAGCAGTGTGTAACAATATAAATTATAAAAGTAAGTTTTAACAATTTTTCTACTTATATTAATGTCAATGTCAATTTCTAATTAATGTGTATACGGTGAATTTTCAATTATTCGGAATGTTTCATTAATCGATTCATTTGCTTTTATCATTTCACGTCAATTACCGCGTATTACAATCCACACAAACAAAGATGTATTTCTGTGTATATTTTTCATATCCTTCAGAATGAACTTTCCAACAAAAGCTAAAAAAATGTTGACATACGAGCACTGCTTAAAAATAGTCATGTAGAAGTCAAATTTCCTCGTGTTCTATTGTCATGTGTATTTATAGCATTTTCTTATATGTTACATTAATATATTATACTCTCGTTAATAAATTACATTATTACATTATCTACAATAATTTTTCAAATCATCTTCGTTTTTCACATTATCATCAAAGTTCAGTTATTCGGAACATTTGATTATTTAGTATCGTCTCGATTCCAAAAACATCGAATAATTAGAATTCCACCATACAAACAATAACGAGAATTAAAAAAAACGTTACTTTATATGACCTACATGTAGCAAGACACGTTCAGATTTTCCAAATCGTTTATTTGAGCCATTTTTCTAAGCATACTCGGGAATTAAGCACGGCGGAGAGTTAATGCAAAATAGAAGTGAAAGGAGGAAGGGTAGAAAATCGAGCGGTGTCCGAGGCAGACGTTAATGCGGAAAGCGTGTCTGTCGCAGACCGGTTTGATCTGTCCTTTCCGCGGCGCATTGAAAAGGCGGCCGTAATGCCGTCTAACGCGGCGGAGAGAAACGTGAATGTCGTAAAAGTAATGTACTCACCGGCCATTCCGTGGACCGACGTTCGTCACATATGATGAGGACGCCGTAATGGCTGAATCCGGTATGTCACCGGACTCCATCCCCAAGGATTGGTTGCACGATTCTGAAACATGCCATTTAACTTTATTATGCACACAGATACGCTCACAATTACTCTATTTGGCGAAAGTTGCCGATTTAGCTTGTCCTGTTCGCCGGGAAATCGACGGGGACAATGAACGAACCGGCGAATCGGCGACGAATGCTCAATGAGTCGCGGTTAAATGGAGGTAGAACAGTGTTGAATATTCATAATGCCTTGCAAAAGTGTTACGAGAATTTCTGCAATAATTAGCATGCGAGCACGGTACATATACTACGTACTAGGGCATATAAAATTTATTACCGTGAGATTTTTTGACGAATTCTTGAAAGCTTTCTTTTACTTTGCAGTCAATGAAGTTCTACGTAACATTTGCTTTTACAATTATTTAACGAAAATTACTTGGTTTAAGAAAAATTTTTCCAAAATTGATTTTGTTTGGAGAGGTGTTTGTTGAGGGTTCAAATGTAATTGATTTAGATTGAATTACAATTATATGTACCATCTGTGTCTGTATTATTTTAAGCGGGACTGCTGTTAGAATTAATAATCTATTAAGGTAAAAGAATACGTTCTTTGTATATGCACAGTGCGTTCGCAACAGGTGGGAGAAGACTTAACTGATAGCTTTAGATGACAAAATAAGACGAAACAAAGGGATACTTGGTTACAAATAAACGTTCTATGTTTATGCATTTTTAAGTTTTCCCAATTTGCATATTGCAACCAGGAAAATATTCCAATAAAGATTATGAATATTTAAAACTTGTTATAAATACGATATAAGACATAAGCCAAAGGACGAACTTCTGGAAAATGTTCATTTTAACAAATTCCAAATAAAAACAGAACACCCTAAAATCTAATTCTGTATACCGCAGTAAATAGAAGACTCCAATAAATATCACCAATATTTAAATTCTATTGGCAGCGTAACAAAAATCATAACACAAAGAACGAATATGAGACCAATTTTCATTTTCAAAGCTCCAAGTCTAAAAGCAATTTATCGTAAAACGCGAATGACATTACCCTCGGCGAATGTATAAACGGGTCTCGCCTTTATGAAAATTTATTCGCTTGAAAATGTTTAATGCAGCTAAAAATTTAACAGCACGTGTTTCGTCAAAGTTCTCATGAAAGGCCCGTTGAATGCGCGTCGTCAAGTGTCGGGGCTGTTCGTGACGTGCTCGGTCCAATAAACAATAGCGTTCCACGGTTTCGTTTAGCGTTCTCTCGTGCACAATGGCGGCGTGAAAGCGACCCCGCGCGCGAAACTGCGAACACGAGGGGCTAATAAGGCAACGAATTAAAAGCTGCCACTTTAATCTCGCCCGTGATCGTTCCTCGGCCGAAGCTATTCCGCGTAATGAAATTCAACGATCGGAACCGGTCGCCCTCGATGCGGAAAACCTTGGAGTACTTCGGTATCGGGCTACACGTTCGTTTGTAATAATAATATACCGAGATGAATATTAATATTATCGGAGTGTCGATATCCGAAATGGAACTGGAATTAAAGGAGCTCGATATGGAGTGTTTTTGTTACTCCCGAATCGAAGGCAGTCACTTCGTATTATCGATGCCTCGTGAAACGTTCGACGTTATAGAGGACGCTTCAGTGATCTTTTTTCTGATGAAGATTTTTTTTGCGGTGACGTGGGTACTCTTTCTGACGTTGCTTGATCTATTGGAAGCGCGGAGTGGGTTATTTAGTAGAACTGGAATATAGGGAGTTTGCCATTTATCTTGACGACCTTAAATACTTCTGCAGCCATTCGTGACACGTAGACTGCGGATCTATATGTAGTTTCGAGCTTTTACGAACGTAATTGGGAAAGTAGAATTACGGTAAGAAAAGGTTTTTATTAATAAATACTACAAAAAGCATTATACTTTGAATATTTTATATATTTTATGGTATCGTGTGCCTTGTGTGGAATTTTATACTCTCAAATTTTCCAGAAATGTATTACAGTCTGCACTCTAGTGATGTGAATAACATTTCGAGTGATACAACAATGTAAAAGTAACTACTGTTTCTTATATATGAGTTATTATGTGTACGATTTCGTTAAAGATACACAATTGAGTACATTCGTTGAATTTCTATTAAAATTACGTGTAATACGATTTTAAAATTGTGGATTTTATTTGAAAAACAATAATGATCTTGAAATTTTGCGAAGTGTGCCCCTTATTTATAACTGTTGATAGTCATTAATTTTTCTTCTTCAATTAGTATACATTTCTTTGGTACTATTTTATGTATCATTACAATTATTGAAATATTTCGTTCAGTACTATGGACATATTATGATGTATATTCCAGTGCAAAATATTTGCTTCGAAATGAAAACCAATAAAACCTTGTGATTATTAATATTCTCGAATATAGAGAACTGTTGCAAATCAATAACTGAATGTACTCTGTAAGAAATATTTTTCGGATTTTACGCACACGTGTATGATTTCTAAAATTTTAGTATAACAGGAATTTTTTTTCCATTTCGATGAACTTTTCATTTAGTTGGAACTCAAATAGAATTTGTAATAGTATATAAATTTCTCTCTGACTTTCGGCAACCTGACTTGATGTATTCTGTTAAAAAATAAGGTAAAAGTACGTTATAGTTTGAAGTTTATTTTTATACTAATAAATAAATTAAAAGTGAGTTATATGTTGAAGTTTAATAAAGAATGGTATTAATAAAACAACTTTTTGTGTAAAATTATTCACAATCTCAAATATAAAAAGCTATTTGCAGTGTATATATTCAATCTTTCGTTAAAACATATATTTAAAATTTTTCAAATAAATTCAAAAGTTGGAAAAATATGTAAAATGTAGCTGCCAAAATGTTAATTAGCACTAGAATAATATTACAATTTCGTATTTTAAGAATTCCCGATTTTTTTAAAACATCAAAATTAATATGTATAACAATGCGTATAACAGTATTATTATCTGAATAAAATATTCTCTACATAAAAAATATAGTAAACTCTACCAGATGAAACATTAATTTCATCAGGTTTGTTATTATGTCAGTTATTTATAAGTGATAGTGCTGTTGTGGGATGTGGAAATACCGTTTTACTCATTATATTATTTATAATATATAAATAATATAAATACAATTTAACACATACTAACATGTACACATTGGTCACTGTACGTCTAATTACTTACAAGACGTCGAGTCATCAAGAATTTCAGTGTAAAATACGAAGAGTTAACTATAACAAAGACAAACGCCAGTATGTTGACGAGTGTTCATAAAACTGCGAACTGCTATCAGTGATAATGCTAAAAAAACTGCTTCGATTTACTTCCAACTGCTATAATTCTATCATCACATCTACTCTATCAACTGGCCCATTCGCGTTTCAGTTTGCTTAGCATTCACCGCGATTCAATTGTAATCTTTCCATTAAAGTTTTCGCCGAACTATAAAAATCCGCGTAGCTTAACTAAGAACGAAGATGGTTGTTCGTCTAGACCCCGCCACACAGGATTAATCGGTGCGAATAAATTTACATTATCGAGACGAGGATGATCGACGGTCCGGTTGCTTCTTACGGAAGACGCATTTTCAATCGGCTACGGATTAAGCTTGAAACCTTTTGCCGTGGGATGATGGACGTATTTATCGCCGTGTTACAAGCTTTATGGGGCTTATCGTGTTCCATTTGAAATTTAAAGTTTCTGATCGATGAATTTCACTTGAAATTGATTTAAACAGTTGATTAAATCGATTTCCACAGCCTGGATGATATTGCTTATAAAATTTCTAAAAAAAGTAAACTTCGAAGAAATATCCAGTTTGGTATCTCTATCGAAGGCATTTTCTTGTAAAAGACTGATAATAATATTTTAATAATCACGTGGCGCAGAACAATACTCATAGATATCACGATCGTTAAAAATACTGGATTATCCCATAAACAATGCAATTTTTTATATTCCCTTTATTTTTAAAAATAAAGATAAATAAAACTCTTTTAAAATTAATTACAATGTGCAGATAGACAATTTATAGATAATGAAAGAGAATATGTTTTAGTTTAAAAACAGTTTCGTTCATGTTTATTTAAAAAAATAAAAGAAATATAAAAACCGTATTATTTATGGGATGACCAAATATTTACTTCCAGTATATTTATTTCTATTCAGAATATTTTATTCCATTTTATGTTTACGTATAAAAAAATTGTATAAAGAAAACACTGATCGATTTACTGTATTTCATCGTTGTTTACTCGTCAGCAGTAATTTTGTCGAAACCAAGCAGAATCGATCAGTCTCGCGCGCGTTCTTATTGGCTTCAGCAGCCATACGATCGCGGGCTCGCTTCCGGTCGATTAAATCGCTCCCCTCTTTTCCCTTTCATCAGCCCTCTTAGGAAAATCCTTTTGAGTAAGCCGTCGTAGCAGGTTAAATCGAGCCAACGGTCTTCCTTTTCGCGGAAATAAACTAAAGAATCCCGGTAATAAACATTACGCTCGTCGTCCTGTCGAGTTGCCTCGTTTGGGATTCCTTCGACAGGAACCACAATTCCAAATGCCATTCGGAGGTTGTTACGAAGACGTTCATGAGAAATCTCTATCAAGCTCTTTATAACGACTCTCTGAACAGTACTTTACCCGCGTTTAAGGGACACTAAATGCACTATCGACTTTTCACCAAGGAATCGTTTATTTTAGTGCAATTGTATCTATTGCAAACGGAATTTATATGGATAATTCAATTATACTCTTTTTAATAGTTTTAAAAATTCGTTTAGAGAAATTAGAATATAATAATGATTATTTAACAGTATAATGAATACTTGAAACGACTTCAAAGTGATAATTTGTACAAAATTAATGAATCAATATTAGGTGTAAATTTAAGGAAACTAATTAAACAGAATTTTAAGATTGAATGATAGATTGCTACGCATAATGATAACAGTCTAAACGATACATTTAAAAATATTTCGAATATGTTTAAATATAAAAATTATATAATATCTGTT